TCCTCTTGGGTCGTCAAATCATCTGGTCAGGTCCAATCTGTCTTGTCAGATTCAGACAGCAGTCTTCACTACTGCATCAGTCAGCAGCCGCCTAATTATACAAACATTAGAAGTTACACACTTGTGTAAAAGAAATAACCAAATAGCTGCTGGTAAAATGCAGAATTCAGATCTTTTTCACCCGATATTCCTCTACTTGGGTCTTCAAATCAACTGGACAGGTCTGATCCAATCTGTCTTGTAAGGTTCAGACAGTAGTCCTCACTTCTAACTGCATAAGTCGGCAGCCACCTATACTATGCAGACATTAAAATGTACACACTTCTCTCAAATAATGCCAAGTAAATGGTAGGTAAAATGAATTCAGATTTTTCTCACCTGATATTCCTCTTGGGTCTTCAAATCATCTGGTCTGGTCCAATCTTCTCATCAAGTTCTGACAGTAGTCTAATCGCTACTGCATGCATCAGTCATCACCTATACAGACATTATAAGTTAGACACTAGTCTAAGATAATAAAAACTACATGTACGTAATACATTGTAGCAATGCACACACACCTTAAATCTTTTCACTTTAAAACAAACACATACCTCGCCCAAAACTCTACATAATGACCATAAAAATGGGGATAGAAACAACAATAAGATAAATCACTCCCCTTCAACTGAAACTTAATTGGAATACGAAGAAAACTCGACCGCAAAATGTTTTGAAAAGAGGAATTGCGACCTTCCAGCGTAGCCAACTCTACTACAGTGTTTGCGCCACAAAAACGTGGGCTTGGTCATTCCTATTTACTGAATTACTCTAAAATGGAAACGAACAAGCTTTTAAATTATACATAATACATCGCAAATGATATATATTAATGAAGAACGAAAGTATGGTCAACTCGACTTAACTAGTTTTCAACTGTTTTGTATTGTATTCATTTCGGCGCCTTCAAGCTTTGAGGACCCCATCTTGTTTATGCAAATTTTTGGCGGGAAAAATAACTAATTATGTACACGGCCACATTCCAACAGGTGTTTTGAACCACGTGGAGATAAAGAGAGGAAAAGGTTTGGTCAATGCAGAATTTCCTTCGACAAATATAACCCCAAAACGCTGAGCAATTGACTAAAAAGACATGCACATACATTTACTACTCGACAAGCGCATCGCAACAATGAAAATGTTGAAAACGCAGCAGCTTGATAAGACCTTTTCTAAGCCGGTCCAAAATTAGGAACGGTCGCTCCCTAATACAGGAATAGGTCATTTCTTTCGAAATATAACTTGCTTGTTCGTACTATGGCTGCTAAGGAATAATGTCAGCCAAAAAATTTGCTGGTTTACCTGCAACAATGAGCGAATCCGTCTCTATACCACGCTACTCTCCCAAACTGTCTCGCCATTTTGTCTTCTCCAAGATTCGCCAGCTCAGGAAATCCGCGTTTTTTCTTCAAAACATCACCAGAACGCCACAACTCCACAGCGAAAACTCCCAAACATTCTGCTGCACACTTATTAAGACATTCTACCGACGATAACGCTAAAAAGCACCCAGAAATTTGTATCTAAAATCAGCTCAGAGTATCCCCGTCGTACGAAAGCGCCATTTTGAATGGACTATACCAAACTTGTTTTTACACAGGTGTGCAGAACGGCCGTGCATAATTAATGTGAAGTTGTTAATCTAATTATGACGACCAATGACAGGCCGTTTCGGTGCCAGGAACTTATATGTTCCGAAGAAGGACGATTAGATTATCTAATTACGAAGGATACTAACGTTGATGTCAATCTCGGTAAAAAGAAAATGGATTAAAATGCAGCTACAGGGCACCTTTAAATTAGTATTTCTATCATCAAAAATAAACGTTTTCAAGAATAAGCTGTTATGTGGCCACAGTATGAAACATAACACTCTTGCCCAATTTTCCTATTCATTTATTTTCGCGGGGACTTTATTCTGTGGTAGAATAAACACCTTCCACATCCACGCAAACCTGTCCTTGGTGCTGAACACCATCCACACACAGGTAATCCTGTCCTTAGTGCTGAACACCTTCCACACACAGGCAAACCTGTCCTTGGTGCTGAACACTATAGCTATCCACACACAGGTAAACCTGTCCTTGGTGCTGAACACCATCCACCCACGATGCTGCATATTACTGCTAGTTCATTGTCAATTTTAACCTGCATATATTTTATTCTGTCGGAATTTCCTTTTAAAATGTTTGTTATGGAACGGTGCAATTCAGTTACTACTGCAAGGCCGTTTTGTATTGTGAATGATAATAAACCAATGATGAACCTATCCTTGGTGCTGAGCACCTTCCACACACAGGAAAGTCAATTTACTAGCTAGCTTAACTAATCTCTCCAATTAACTCAATAATCAAAGCAGTTAGTGTTGTTTAGTGGAAGTAAAGCACAGGGAATTTTGTCATTTGGCGACTTGAGAAACGATCGCGAGATGTGCTCTTATGGGGGTTTCACGCCAGGTCTTTCCTGCTGTTTGAGGCATATGGATGTAATTTGCATAATCTATGAGGAAATTCTATAACTCAGCTGCATTCCATGATAGGGCTATTTGACATATGTCAAGCTTGTGACATATGTAATTAAGAACGAGACACAGGCAGATATCGATTATGCAAATTGAGACTTAATTTACGTAATTAATAAGAAAATGTTAGAATTCCATAGTGTTATCTGCCTGGAATTTCATACTTGGGGTATTTGAAAGTTAAGTGAATGTGAACATAATTAAACATAACTTATTCAAATAAGGGCCTCATTTGCATAATTTATGAGGAAATGCTATAATGGCATTCTTTGTTAAGACAAGACTGTATTTTGGTGTAGAATATGATCAACAGATATAATTCATGCAATTGAGGATCCTATTTGCATAATCAGGGGGATTAATAATGTATACTTTCTTAATCATAAGAAAGTCATTTGGCGAAGGTATGAGATCGTGGAAATCTAGTTTTACTTTCAATAGGAAGAAGGTTGTAGGTATGATTGACATATCATGTCCTTGATGTATCATATTTTTGATTGGTGTCCCCAGGTTCAAACACATGTAGGCAGTAGATTACATGCATAGATGATTGTTATGCTCAATTTGAGTTTTAACTAAGGCCACACCAATTTAATTTAGTCTGTTGGTTCTCGGATTCGCCTCTTCATCTTTTTCTGATTTGCAAAAAAAAAAAGATTTTCAGGTTCTAATTCTATATAAATCAACTCAAATATGCTCATATTTTCCCCTTAATAGTTGAGGAAAGTCATTTTCTTCCTAGTCGTTACTGATTTCCATCAATACGGTGGTTTGATGAAAAGTTCAAAACGTATTGTTTAAATAGTAACCTAGCCTTTTGTGTTGACCTTATGGCTCCTATCATACCATTTGGGGTTATAATAGGATGCATAGACCTGTTTTTATTTTTTTTTCACCCTGTCACTTATGTATTTTTTGTACTGGCTTCTTCTCTTTGCTATTGCCATTGCCAAATTTGTTATCACCAGTAACGAGTATCACTCAACCGATATAAAATGCCCCCCTTTAGCGAACCTGAATACTAACAGGTGCGATCTGATTTGATACAGGACAAGGTCAAGGCTTGGTGGTTTAAGTAAACTGCCGATCACCCTCGGAACTATATAATTCTTTTTTTTTTCGGTAACGTAGCTCAAATATCTTATGTGTTTGTTCCGGTGACGGCCACTTTTGGAAGTTTGTAGCGGGTAGGGACTCCATCTTGTCCTGACTAAATCTGCGCTGCTAGCGGCCGGCCCGGCAATACCAGCTGTGGCAATACTGGCCGGGACACCATCTGTGGCAAAGAATTTGGCCGTGTTTTACATGTGGTTTACCCCGAAGCCGGTTTCAAGTGGCACCATCTGAACGCTCCAAATCACATTGAAAGCGCCTCGATTCCAAACCACTTGTAGAGGTGGTTTCGAATCGGTTTTCCCGCATCGCGATATTCGTCTGAACGCAATGTGATTTCAATGTAACTTCGCCTGGTCAGGGATTTCGGGGTGATATTTCTTTATTTATATGCAATTCACCAATTTCACACTTCCCATAATGCCTAGTAACGGTCACGGATATGACCTATGACCACCCCCCCCCCCTTCCTCGATGTAAGGTAGCAGAACACAGTATTCCTCCGCGACCCCCGGAGACGGTGACGTAGGGATAAGAAATGAGTGCGACAAACAGCTTGCACCGCTTGTACACAGCCTAACGTGGATGACACCGGGACATACAAGTTACCGTATGGTACCATAATATGTCGGCTTTGATATCGCATAATTGAGATTAGGAAGGCTGCTCGATCGGCGTATAAATGCGCGTGACCTTTTCGCTGCCTGCCATGGTGAGTCGGCTGCAGTTCCGGTGCGCTCCGCAGGAGGCCATTTAAAAGAGGTCGGCATAATGTCAAAAAAACGATAACTTTTTGTACTTTTTTGTTATTTTGTACATCGTACCCTATATTTGAACATATTCGTTTCTCGCGCTTTTCTATGGTACCCTACTGTATTTTTATCCGAGTCGATGTCAGTCACTTCTGGGTCCTTAACTATAGAAATCCCCATAGGCGAAAAACTGTGTTCTGCTACCGTAATATTTCCAACAAGTTCTATCGACAAACTGGTCAACTATTGTTTTGAATTATTTGTCTAGTATAAAGCGCATGCCATAATTGCATTTTTCTTGGAATTAGAGAAAATGACGTACCTTCTATCGTTCTACCTTCTACCGAAGACTCTCCTACTCGCACGGTCGCATTACGTATACCAAGGACATTGCGTCCTTGCGTATACGTATATCATGGAGGACCTCAATGCGTATATCTCGGCGGCTATGTAGGATGGCCGGCTATATTAAAATAATGCGTTAAAAACTCTTCTCCACCACCGCGGGGCCTGCACAGGAGAAGACACTGTCAGGGAAGGTTGTGGAAATAAAGAACATCTCTTATACAACTTTGTCGACTCTGTATCGTCACTTTACCCCAATGTGACATATAATCACAATCACGTCGGACATGCCGACAGTACCAGTATTGGTCACATACTAAACCGTCGGACGCCGACTTTTTACACGTTCCAACTAAACGCAGTAGTAGTCTGCTCCGTAAGACAACTAGAAAGAAAAAAGTCACCCAACAAAAAAAGATGGCTGCTCTAGTGAAGTGCTCGCGTGCTCTCGCTCGGTTTTCGACGATTCCCTCGTGCCCGAGTCTCCTTCAAGCAGGATGTCCGCGCTACTGTAGTGTCATGTCGCGCCCTGTCCGAGACAGGATCCAGGAAAGGCGTCAGCAGGCGCTGTTAGGGGGAGGGCAGCGGCGAATTGACGCGCAGCACAAAAAGGGCAAACTGACGGCACGAGAAAGGATCGATTTGCTGTTGGACCCAGGTGAGTTTGTTATGATATTATCAAGGGTTGACCCAGAAACAGTTTTTGGGACATTTTTTCGCCATTTCTGCTGAAATATGTATATTTGGGGGTTCTAAACTCTTGTTATTCCTGTGTTTTTCCTTGCTTTCCTAGGGACGTTCGTTGAGTATGACATGTTTGCCGAACACCGCTGCTCGGACTTTGGTGGTCTGGAGAAGAGCGCAAACCAGTTTCCAGGCGACAGCGTGGTGACAGGACACGGTCGGATCTATGGCCGGCCCGTTTACCTTTTCAGTCAGGACTTTACCGTGATGGGGGGCAGTGTCGGCAGCGTTCATGCGCGCAAGATATGCAAGGTTTGGCCCATTTATTCACTTCTGGAGATTTTTTCCATTATTTTTTCCATTGATTTGATTTGATTTGATTTGTTGAAATTGCAACAGTGCAATACACGCGGAACAGAGGCAGCTGCTGCTGGTGTTGTGTCCCGCACATAGAAACAAATACTGGACAGACAACACTCATTTTCACTTGAGTCTAGTGGGGAAAGTCGTGTAAAGTGCCCTTCCCAAGGGCACAAGATCGGTGGCATGTCAGGACTCGAACCCGGGACCTCTTGATTCCCGGAATCCGAGTCGCGCACCTTATAACTAAAAAAATATAAGACAGTTTGTGACCATGAAGCTCCCTTTACTTTCGAAAAGGTCCAAACTATCATTACAGGGAACTCCATTTTGGTCTCTCTACATGAGGAATTATGTATCCAGATTTAACAAAAAAGAGAAATCTAGTGATAGTGACATAGTACAAAATGAGCATATTTTATTATGTGTAAGATTGTAACAAAAAAACCTTTTTACCCCCCCTTAGATAATGGACCAGGCCTTACTAACAGGAGTGCCGGTGATTGGTCTGAATGACTCGGGCGGTGCCCGTATCCCGGAAGGGGTGGATGCACTGGAGGGGTATGGAGAAATCTTTCAACGGAATGTGGAGGCCTCTGGTATGATTTGGTTCAGATATTTTGTTTAACATTATTTCTCTCCATCTCTGCTATTAGTGTAATAGTTTTTGTTTCACGATCTCACACCTCCGTCAGTAATAGTTTTGTTAGAAAGGAGGTATATTTGATGTATCCTTCGATATATGAGGCACATTATCAAACTTGACCGTCGTGTGTTCATCTCCACCTCAATAACAAACGTCTCGAGTATTAAATTCCCATCATTTACCAGTAAGGTGTAACAGTAATTTCCCATTTATTATGCAAATGAGATGCTAATTTGCATAATTTGCATCTCATAATGTTTCCCTCCACCCAAGTTCCATATATCACGAGTTCGAAAGTCCTTTCATTTATCAGTCATCGAATAGAACCTTTCCTAATTAATTATGCAAATCATTGCCTGATTAGCATAATTCATATATGGAAGTGTTCATCTCCACCCAAGGAACAAACGTTCCAAGTATTAACGTCCCATCATATACCAGTAATGTGTTATAGCTATTTCCCATTTATTATGCAAATGAGGAACCAATTTGCATAATTTCTATCTCATAATGTTTTCCTCCAAACAAGTTACATACGTTACGAGTTTAAATTTTCTATCTTTTATCAGTCTGTAAATACAATTTCCTCATTCATTATGCAAATGAAGCCCTAATTAGCATAACTAATGCGTCGATGGACTTATATTCACCCAGGTATACTACCAGTCAACTATCATGCCAATCTGTCTCATAAGTCCTGAGTTATTCGCTTTCAAAGTTTCCAACAAAAACGCCGCTGCAGTTCTAATAACGGTTGCTAGGGGATCGTTACATAACTTATTTCTTAGCCCACAAGCTTCCTACCACGAAAAAATCATGACCGTAGCATGTTCAGAACACGAGATATAGAAACAGGAAGTGCTGCTGCAGTACCAAGGAGAGCCGCTAGGGGGTCCAAAATCTAATCGTTTCCAGATCTAGTGACAACCTATCCACACACCAAATATCATTACAATCCATCAATGCGTTCTGGAGTTATGCTGTTCACAGAAAGACTGAATGACAGACTGAATGACTCACAGACAGACTGAATGACAAACGCGACTGAAAACATAACCTCCTTGACGGAGATAAAAATAAATCCGTATGGTATATGTTGAAATTTTTTTTACATAGTATCCAAGATTTAAGAGCTGGCAAATATGACACATTTTTGTGTACCGTATCTATTTCAGTAATTTTTATATTTCAGTCCACACCATGGTATGGATGAAATATATTGTGTTCTCTGATGTTTCTTCTTCTTCTTCTCCTTCTCCTGTCAAACAGTCAAAGGGATTCAACTCAGCCATCATTCAGCCAAATGACTTGAAATTTGGCATGGAGGTAGAGTGGGCCAATACCCCCAGGCGTTTTTTTCATTTTTTTGATACATGCCTTTGAAAAAATTTTATGAAGGTTTTTTTGGGGCATTTTTCGACAAAAAATGGATTTTTGGATCCTGAGCCCCGGTTTTACAACCAAATGCTCTGAAATTCGGTATAAGGGTACCTTGAACATGTGTCTACAGAATAGCAGTCACATATTTGGCATACACCACTTCCAAATGACTCATTTGGGGGACTTTAATTGCTATTTCAGGCCAAAAAAGGGCCAAAAGTGCTATACCCGTTCCATGTTCTATCTAAAGAATGGCCTGTTCCATCTGCCACTGGCCATGGAACACGTGTTCCATTGGGGGTTACCTGGGGTCACATTGCACGTAAGTCGTGCGTAATGACCCACACATTCAATTTTATGTGGCTAAGACCTTCAAAATGTATCAAATCTCATCATTGTTAGTATATTTGCATACCTGTAATAAGATTAGTAAAGCATTCGAGATCCAAAGTGCTTGTTGTAGCATCTTTGTTATCAATTACATAGCTACTATTTAATTCATTTATTTGAGAACCTTTGCCAGTTTTACACTGGGGTAAGTTTGGAATAGTCCACTTTTGCGTGGGAGGGAGATGGACTGAAATATGCTGTATTTGCTCCCAAGCAAATGTCGGCCTTTCTAGTTTTCCTAGACTTCATTATGTGCAAAAACACGTATAAACTTTGCATGATAGAGTTACTTGTTAACACACCAGAAATACATTAGGGAGTAGTAACACTAAACTCTGATTGGTTGCTAGGCGTGGTGCCCCAGATCTCCATGATCATGGGTCCGTGTGCGGGTGGAGCGGCCTACTCACCGGCCCTGACAGACTTCACTTTCATGGTTAAGGACACGTCCTATCTTTTCATCACTGGCCCTGATGTGATCAAGTCTGGTAAGGTTACAATCCCCTTGTTTTCGAGGTGACGTCACTGGGCAACCATTTTAGCAAGCTAAGGTTGCTCTTTTTGCAGCATTTTTTTTGGCAAGGTTGCTCACTGGGCTGAGTATGGGGCATTTTAATCATGAGGTGAGCTTATTTTGGACACCATTTGATTAACACATGCAACACATTTCCGTGAATAATTTCATCAGGTTGGTGAATGATTTAATAATAATAACTTTATTGCACAAGAGTTGTACATGGTACAAAGTATGGCAAAACTTATCTATAAACTTAACTATGGACTAAACTAACTAATACAGGAGTTTGTGGCTGATATAGGATGTGAATGAACTTTTACAATATTGGAGGAATTTCTTATGTCTAGACATTGTTTGATATACATTCCTATATCTACCATACATGAGTTATCACAGGTCATTATTATCTTAAATTTGCTACTTAAATCCATCGATGTAAATTCTGGTACATATGACGATAGTTTCGTATTTAATGAATTGCGTACATCAACATACTTAGGACATTCCATCAAAAAGTGATACTCATTCTCAACTAGTTCTGGGCAGAATGGACAAACCCTCTGGTCAATAGGAAGCCGCCTTTGAAATCTTCTAAACGTTCTTTATTCACAACCATCAGTTTTACATAAGCCAACGTTTCGATGACCGTCTGTCATCTTCGTCAGGGCAATCTTCGTTGGCTTATGTAAAACGTATGGTTGTGAATAGAGAACTTTTATATTGGATGCAACACATTTATTTGGTTAATATACACTGAACTGTAAAACTCTAATAATACTAAGTATCGGATAACATTCTTGTTACCATGCTCTTCTTGTTGCGTGATTGAGTAAACTGATTTTCTTGTAATTGCATTAGTAACTTGTGAGGTAGTTAACCAGGAAGAGCTGGGAGGAGCCACGGTCCACACTACACTGTCGGGTGTGGCACATAAGGCGTTCGACAATGATGTTGATGCTCTTCTGCGGCTACGGGAGTTCTACAACTTTCTACCTCTCAGCAACACGGTCAGTCCGTCTGTTATTACAAGACTACGATTTGATTATGAATGAACACATAGTTATTGCTCGACAGTTGTACAGGGTACAATGAAATGAAATGAAACTTTTATTGCATGTTCATTCCCCGGGGGATAAATGCACAGATGTACAGAGTACAACGTATTAGAGTTTAGACCCGATGTTAGCCCTTCTCTATTACCATTGTTGTAGTACTCTCTCAGAGAGTACTACAACAATAGCGACAAAGAAGGGCCAACATCGGGTCTAAGGTATACAATAGTTAAAAAGAAATATATATATATATATATATATAAAGTGATACAGATCTAAGGTCTAATGGCTTCTTCTCTCTTTTTGAAACATTTTGAAATATATTACTTACATACTTCATTGATGACGTCTATATTCGTACATGATATGATATATTTAAAAGTGACTTCCTTTGATAATGTTTTACATTTTTTGTCGAACTTAATTGAACTGAACAGTGATTTACGTTCGTTATCATATAATTTACAGTCAAGCATAAAATGCGATTCATCTTCAATACAAGAATTATTACAGAATGTGCACATTCTATCTTGTAACGGTGTACGGCTATGCCTGCCAGATTCTATGTTTACAATGTATGGCAACAATGGCACTATAATTATTACAACAATAGAGGTCTATTCCTAGAAACTCTGACCACAGAAATATGAGGCCGCGTAAATGTCTTATTTACATGATGTACTTTAAACGTATATGTCTGTCAAAATTCTTTGTCTCTTTTCTAAAGCGTTACATACATATTGGCCTAGATATGTAGATATGGAGTCCGGGCATGGCTGCATGTGATGTAACTACATGTACCTTTTAAGTATCCAAAATTGCATGTCAAGATGCTGCTTCTTAAAATTCGCTGAAAGACTTAACAAGAATGTCAAAACAATGTACCAAAAGACACACCAGAATCTCACTTGTAGCTACTTCATCATACCGATAGACATCTTTTGCCTAGAGTTGCTTCTGATTAGAACAATCCCACGCTTGTTTTACAAAGCAATAGTAATTTTTATGGATGACGTCCTCACGCGCATTGGTTTTGTCTGTTTCCAGGGAAACAAGAGCTTTTAAAAAAGCTGACCTTTCGCTTAGTTTGTATGCAAAGTTGTACTGAATGAGCTTGAAAATATTGTTTCGTAGCCGCAAGGCAAAAAAACAATATATTTTTGCCTTTTATAGATGTTTTTGCAAGCCAAAATGAATGGCCTTAGGAAGATAATGGAGGAAAGAAAGGAATAGTAAGACAACTGATGGTCTTCTCTGATTCATCGCAGTTTCCATTAAGAATAAAATGCCTTACTAGTACACTGGTTCTCTAACACTGTGTTCTGCCATACAATATTTTGTCACAGCATTCGTGGTCCCTTGATATATTGACCAACTAGGCATCTTGTTTTTTTTCGGCCAGTTTTTTTTTCGCGCTCTCGCATTAGATTTAGGGTTTCTAAAGGACGTCATCCATAAAAATTACTTGGTGTGGCCTTAGGGAAACATCCAAGGGCCAACAAAATGTGGCCGCAATGGCCAATTTTCCTTAGGCTAATACAGAGGTAATCTTGACTGTACTACTGTTATAAAAGTCATATCTTTGTTTAACAGGACCCTTCCCCAATCCGGCCCACTGAGGACCCTGCCAACCGCCTATGTCCGGTTCTGGACCACATGGTTCCCCTGGACTCCACCGAATCGTTCAACATGCTCGACGTCATCCAGACGGTGGTGGACGAGGAAGACTTCTTCGAGATCATGCCGAGTTACGCCAAGAACATCGTGGTAGGGTTCGCACGAATGAATGGTCGAACCGTCGGGATCGTCGGGAATCAACCCAAGGTGGCGGCAGGCTGTGTGGACATCGACGCCTCTGTGAAAGGAGCCCGGTTCATCCGGTTCTGCGATGCGTTCAACATCCCGATCCTCACGTTTGTGGACGTCCCCGGTTTCCTCCCGGGAACAGCGCAGGAACACGGCGGGATCATCCGCCACGGAGCGAAGATGCTGTTCGCGTACTCCGAGGCCACCGTGCCCAAAATCACCGTCATCACGAGAAAGGTAAGCAAGGTCTCAAGTGACAGTCGTATTTTTGTGAAGACATATAACTTACTAAATATTGAGGACAACAAGAAATTTTAAGTAACTTTATAAAAAATTACATGGTTTGGTAAGGCAACTTTTACTGAAAGAGCTTAAGTAATTTCTGGTGCTGCTGCTTGTTTGTACGTCATGTTTTTTCCGTGTGGATTGTCAGGCATATGGAGGTTCGTACGGCGTGATGGGAAACAAACACATGAAGGCAGATATCGTCTATGCCTGGCCAACGGCAGAGGTGGCTGTAATGGGGGCGAAGGGAGCTGTGTCCATCATGTTCAAGGGACAAAAGGACCAGGTCAGCACTATTACTGTTAGTCTGCGTAAGGCCACAGCAAGTAATTTTTATGGATGACATCAGCGCGCGCATTAAGTTTCGCCTGAGTTTGGAAAAAAAAACAAGAAATTTTGTTGCCTTCTGACAGTGGTCAATATGCCGAAAATGGGCAAAGATGTCTGTTGCCATGCCGCGGTCGGAACGTGAATGGCAGATAACTATGAAGAGAGGAGACAAGAAAAGGCTCTGATTTAATGTTTGTTTCTTACTTTGATGCAGTGATATGTGATGCTGGCTGTGTATATGTGATGTTCCCACTGAATAAAAACCATTTGTACAATGATTGAGTCAAAATTTTAAAGTGTAGGAACCTTGTTTTTTCGGTCCGCCTTGTTTTTTTCGCCCGCTCGCATTTAGATTTGGAGTCTACAGAAGATATAAAATTTACTTGCTGTGGCCTAACAATGAAACTCTGCCATCCGTGACTTAGGGCCCCTTCCCGCAGCTAGGGGCCGGCTTATGTTTGCGGGCAGCGTAAAGCTTGAGTTTAATCAGGCTATATTACTGGAAACATTCGATATTCTGCCACTGTTATTGATGGTTTGGTATCTAAACTGGTGTATTGTCCCTTTTTTTGTTACAGTACATTGCTCCAGGTTAACATGAAATCGCATGTTTTCTGGCTGCAAGTGATTGAATTAGGTGTATGATTAGTAAAATGCCTTCATGCAGTCTTCAAATAAAAAGAAAGTGTTTCTTTAGCTTTCCCAATGAAAAGAGTACCCTGTCTTGTACCTAGAAATTTTGATTTTTTTTTATTATATGAAAATTATATATCAACTTCATTCCAGGCAAAGAAAGAGACAGAGTACATGGAGAAGTTTGCCAACCCATTCCCAGTAGCCATCCGCGGCTTCGTCGACGACATTCTCGAACCCAGGATGACCAGAACCCGCATCTGTCAAGACCTGGACCTTCTCTGTACGAAAAAGGAAAGCAGACCATGGAGGAAACACAACAACTTACCTCTTTGATTATTATGGCTTCACCACAAAGTGGTGAAGACATATTGTGTTCCCTCATGTTTCTTCTCCTCCTCCTTCTCCTCCTGCCATATATGCATTTCTTTAAATGGATTCAACTCAGCCGTTTTTGGGCCAAATACTAGTAACACGAAATTTGGCATGAAGGTAGAGTGGGCAAATACCCAGACGAATTTTTTTCATTTTTTTGATCTGGAGCTCTGGTTGTAAGACCAAATGACCTGAAATTTGGTATGGGGATACCTTGGACGTATGTCTGCAAAACCTCATTCAAGCTTTCAACATACACCACTTTAGAATCGGGAAAAATAGGGCTTTTTGGCTATTTTCGGACCTAAAATGTACATTTTTGGCTCCTGTGCACTAATATTAAATCCGAATGACCTGAAATTCGGTATGGGGATACCTTGGTCACATGTCCAAAGAATGCCATTCACGTTTTTGACATAAAATACTTTAAAATTGTGTAAAATAGGGCTTTTTGGCTATTTTCAGCATTTGGAAGATTCCATTGCTGCATGGGGGTATAGATTATTGTCAGCCATCGTGGGATAGACCCATTTTCGGTATGGGGGATGTGGTGAAGCCATCTGCGGCACTTGCTCCCGAGCAAATGTCGGCCTTTCTAGTGTTAATTACCTTTTCATCACGTATTGTATTAGTCTGCTGACTGACAGACCCTTAATGTGTAAGGTTCATCAAATAGTGATCAATTTTACAAAAATTGTTAAGCCTTTCATGCTATAAGGTATAACCTTTCTGTGCAAAGTTTGTATTAGTTATGGAGGTTAGCTTACAGCTAGAGAAACATTGTGAAACGTTAAAATTCTATAAGAGTAGCATGTGCACAGGAAAATGTGGGTCAAATGGCGGTATAAGAGGCTGTTAAACAAAAAAAATATTACGCTACCTTTTGTACAATATGTAATTGTCGTTGACTGGGTTAAAACATTTGCTGAATATCTAGTGAAGATTATCTAGTGAAGATTATCTAGTGAAGATTATCTAGTGAAGGTTATCTAGTGAAGGTTATCTAGTGAAGGTTATCTTGTCATCCAGAACCTATCTTCTATGAACAGGTTCTTTCTGCATGGTTCAAAGTAAATAACCAATGTACTGATCCCAACTTAGAGTATGGTATACAGAACCAGATGATCTGGGGTAATAAGTACATATTATCAAAAGGTAAACCACTTTTGTACCCGAACTGGATAAATTCAGGTTTTGTATATGTAAAAGACATTGTACAGAATGGAGTATTTATGAACGATAAAGCAGTCTTTCAAAAACTTAAAGTTAGAAGAAACTGGACATGTGAATTGCTCTCTGTCAAATATGCTATACAAAAATGCTTGAAAGAAACAGAGGTAACAGTTAACACTGAAAGTACTGGATCTACCAATGTCCCCAACTTGTGTCTTATGAAAACTGCCAAGCTGTATCAATTCTTAATGCAACAAAAATTTGAAACACCTGGTGTACAGGATAAGTGGGAGGCTGAATTTAATTGTAAACCTGACTGGAAAAACATATGGAAAAATCAAACTTATTTTCCAATAGGAAAACACTTGATGCAATTGAATTATAAGCTGTTACATCATATACTGCCATGTGGCCAGTTACTTTATGTTTGGAAAATAAAACCCAGTAATATCTGTAATCTATGTAACTGTATAGAAGATTATCAACATTTGTTCATTGCTTGTAGTAGGTTAAAATCTTTCTGGACAATAGTGAAGGATTATATATACAAGACTTTTTGCTGTAATGTTGTAATCGACTTCAAGGTTATAATATTAGGATATAAAACAGATCTGCCCAATCCCTCTGTGGAAATTAAGTACACAAACCTAGCTATCACTATCGCAAAATACGTTATATTTCGAAGTTGGCTGGAAAAGGACAAATACGATGGGATTGCAATAGCTAATATGTTTAAAACAGAATTCTCTTTGTATAAATAGGGTTGTCTGTTTTTTTTTATATATAATGTACACGTATTGTTGTCCTTTTACAATGTTACAATGTACATGTAGATGTTGTGAATAAAGGATTAAAAAAAAAAAATACTTGTCATCCAGTGGTAGACAAAAATTTCACAGGGGAAACCACATTCGACTCCGACTTAATTGCAAAACCCATTTGTCAGCATTTTTGTTGCAATTTTCCGGTTTTGTTAATTTACCATTGAAAAAACATATTTGCCTCCATGAAAATGGAGGTATATGTATTATTTTGGGCGGCGTGTGTGTCTGTGTGTGTGTGTCTGTGTGTGCTTCCGCAAACTTCTTTTCAGCATAACTTAAGAACGCATCGATGGATTGTGATGATATTTGGTATGTGGGTAGATCTTACGATGGCAAAGGTCAGGCTTAATTGTGGGCCTCTTGGTGGCTGACCTTGGTATTGCAGCGGAACTTCCGGTTTTTGTATTTTTTTGTCCTGGACCTGCTATGGTCTTGATTTTATGGTGGTAAGAATCTTTTTGTGTCAGGAACAAGTGGTGTTGGTTTAGTCCCCCTGGCAGCTTGTTCTGTAACTGCAGGGACGTTTTTGATGAAATCTTTTAAAGAGGATAAATCAACGAAGAAACATCGGATCTTCATAATTTTTTGACAGGTGGGTAGTTTAAACAAAGATGTACACAACTATGTGCAAATTATGAAGATGAGGACCAAATTTGCATGCAATGAGGAAAGTCCATAATTCCAGTACTTTACAACGTGTAACTTAATTATGGGTTAATGCCCCGCCCCGAGGCGTATATAGTGAGATAATCTCTGGTCAGGTGTGATAACCACCAAATAAACCACCAAGTGAGTCACAGACAGTGACTGAAGCTTTAAGTGACAGGAAATATGTGTGTATGAAAAACAGTCAATATGTTCTAAGCAGAAGGCCAGACATACAGTACCGGTAGTAAACTGCCTGAATAATTGAAGAGTTGAAGAGATGTAATAGGGATTTTGTATTGCTGTTTGTCGATTTCCGTAAGGCATTCGATTCCATCGATAGAGATGTGATGTTTGAAATTCTAGCAATGTACGGTATTCCACATTGTTTTATACAAGCAATTAAGGCCCTGTATAGAGATACTATAGCCTCAGTGATCACACCCGATGGTGAGACTAGTTCATTTGAGATAGTTACTGGAGTTCTCCAGGGTGATACTTTAGCACCATATTTATTTATCATTGTACTTGATTATGTATTACGAATATCGCTAGACGTAAATGAAGACAAGGGCATAGAAATCAAACCGCGCAGGAGTCGAAGGCACCCTGCCCAGTATCTCACTGATTTGGACTTTGCTGACGACCTTGCGCTGGTTGCTGAACTGATTAAAAATGCAAAAACCTTGCTTCAATCCCTAGAAGAAGCTGCATCCCTTGTGGGGCTTTTTTGTAATGAATCAAAGACTGAATACATCAGTAACATTTCTGGACCATTAGAACTGAGATCATTGTCTGGGGCACTCATTACAAAAGTAGAAAACTTTAAATACCTTGGTTCCTTCATTATGTGCCCAAGGAAAGATTTTGAAACTAGAAAAGCCCTAGCATGGGAAGCATGCAACAAATTGGATAAGATCTGGAAGTCTAATATCCCTAACAAATTGAAAGTCCAAGTTTTTCTTACCCTTGTAGAACCGATACTGCTTTATGGTGCCGAAAGTTGGACACTTACCTGTCAGCTTCAAAAACGATTGGACGGGACTTATACAAAACTCTTGCGGAGGGCACAGAATATGTCTTGGAGGCAACATGCCACTCTCGAAAAAATTTATGGAGGACTCCCAAGACTGTCTCAAAAACTCACCCACCGTCGAGTTATGTTCGCTGGACATTGTTTCCGAGCCAAGCAAGAAATTGTTTCATCTGTACTCATGTGGAAACCACGTGGACGAGTGCACTCCAGAAGTTTGACATTCACCGATACCTTAGTTAGAGACACTGGAATTGACTTTGATGACTTAGAAAATGTAATGCTTGATAGCGGCTGTATGGAGAGAAATCTGTACTAGCTTAGTCCCGGCTGTTAGCCGATAGATGATGATGATGAGTAAACTGCCAGAGAGTACACCAATCATCTAGGACACTCGTTAGTGTTCGCTGTCATGTGGATACAAGGTACTGTAACGTTACTGTATATTGAAATTACATTCTTCAAATTCTTCAGAAGAAATTACAATGTACAAATGTAGCTGGAGGCATTCTTCACGTGGACTTTTACTGAAAACTCTTGGCAGCATCTGAAACCATGTTTTCAATCCCTGGGTCTGCAAACCTTGACTCTCTCAGCTGATGACAATTTCTTCAAGCTAGTAATTATAAGGAAGATGAAAGAACAGTCAGGTATACCACAAAAGTTGACAAGCAGCATAGGCAGCTAATAAATCTAACGTTAACATTGTATATAAAAAGCACACATATTTCATCATGTGCAAACTGTAGTAGACTTAGAGTCAATCTGAACATCAATGTGGTGACCATTGATTATACCTACAACCTTTATGTTGTTAACAACTTGTGACCTCAAGTAAAGTGTGAATCAACAACAAATTGTTAAGGGTTTGAATAATTTTATCAAGCTGTATTCTACAAACGATTAAGAACAAAATTACTCATGGAAAAAACAAAGGGTTTGACTGAATAATTTGGTAAGGGTCTGGGTCAGTCAGGCAAATTATATTTTGTTGTTATCAAACTAAATACTATACGCTTGTTGTGTACGTCTGAAGTTTCACAACATTCCGCGAAAACCACGTTCTAAGCCAGGCTAAAATATATGTCGTTGTAATCCTTACAAGTCAGGGAACCTTGGGAAATTCACTTGAAGATCACACTTGTACACAAAAACGAGCTTTGTAGCGTCAAAGTTGACCTTTATTCGCTAGCCAAGAACTCATTTTGGCGTAGGTTTTCGAACTGTATGGGGATTTCCGTGATACCGCTAATAATCCCATCTACTTCCGGGTCACGGCTTACGAGGTTCGGTTACTAGTATATTACACGCCGAAGAGCGAAGGAAACGTTGCGGAGTGAAATTTCATGAAAAAAAGCTCTTAAAAAGCCGCGC